CCTCATCTCTACAATAAATCAAAAAAATTAGCCGGGCATGGTAGCACACTCCTGTAGTTCCAGCTATTTGGAAGGCTGAGGCGGAAGGATCACCGGAGCCCAGCAGGTCGAGGCTGCAGTGGCCGGAAGCAGCCTCTGCACTCCAGTCTGGGTGACTGAGTGAGACTCCAACTCAAAAAAAGACAACATACATATCTCAACAGAGTTATTGGTCACAGGACCTAACCCTAGTCATGAAAGCCAAGTGACTTGCTTCTTGGCTTCCATGTTACTTTTTAGGATAAACGGTATTGGCGCTGATGCCACATGAGGAGAGTCAGACGCCAATCTGTCAGAAGTGTGGTCAGTCACTGAAGAGTTTTCATTGCCCTGCTGAGCTGGTCTCACTGCCTTCTATGGAAAGGCCAGTGGCAGGTATTCACAGGAGGAGCCCAAGTGTCCCCAGAGCACAATAGTCTTGTTAGGACAGGACAGCTGTCTTATGGCCATGTGGTTCTTTGTCTGAAGGAAAAATAGGAGCTGAGCGTGAACTTTTATTGTTCAGAAGATATAATCCAACCCCCTCCCCGCCTCCTGCTCTTTACTCCTGGATTGACTGTGAGGACAGTGTTCTGTGACAGCGATAAAGCATTGTCTGTCCTGCTAGATTTTTTTTTTTTTCCTGTTTACTTGTATCCACCATTTGTAGGAACTGCAGGACACAGCCTTTCCTGAATAAATCATGTATTTTTCCAGCTCTAAATCTTTGCCCAACATGGAGGCATACCCTCCCTTCCTGCCCTGTGGGGGTGTTCCCGCTTAATCTCCAGAGCCTAGCACTGTGTCTCTTCCTCCTTCCTCCTGTCCCTTGCAGTTACCTGCTCCCTCCTTGAGCTCCCGCAGCCCTTGGCCGTCTCCCTGTGTTACTGTGTGGTGCACCTGTCTTCTCTACTACACCTTGAGAGCAGGACGCTGCCTCCTTCCTTCTAGCACCTCACCCAGGGAGGGCTGCCAGGGGCAGACGCTCAGCAGATGTAAACTGCATGATTCCCAAACCCAGCTTTGCTTCTCAGCTTCAGCACAAATTAGCTGTGTGATATTGACCAAGTCACTTGGCCTCTCTGAGACTCAGTTTCCTCCTCGAAGACTGGGGATGCTAGCCTGGTGTGGTGGCTCACACCTATAATCCCAGCACTTTGGGAGGTGGAGGCGGTAGGATTGTCTGAGTCCAGGGCTTTGAGACCAGGCTGGGCAACTTGGCAAGACCTCATCTCTACAATTATTCAAAAAAACAAAAAAACAAAAAAACTGGGTGTGGTGGTACGCCTGTAGTTCCAGCTACTTGGAAGGCTGAGGTGGAAGGATTGCCTGAGCCTAGCAGGTTGAGACTATGGGGCCATGAGTATGCCACTGTACTCCAGCCTGGCCAACAGAGGGAGACTGCAGGTCAAAAAAAGCTGGGGATGCTGTGTACCTCAGAGGAGACATGCACGTGTAGGTGCTTCCTAGATGGTGCAATAACATGTTGTAATTGAGGTCCACCTTCAGTGACAGACACCTGCTGCACAAGGGCTGTCATTGTTCAGAGCCTGTGAGGTTTCCTTCTTCTACCCTGAATCTGGGTGATTATTAAAGGACAGTTTCTGGAATGTACAGGGCAGTTGGGTAATCTAGGTCTATAATTGTCCTTAAATATTATCCATGTGAACATCTACAGGTAGGATTTTTCTTGCTGAGGTTTGGCAAACAATGAGGAATTACCCAAGTAAATGAATGGCTCATTCATTTACTCATTCAACAAATAGTTATTGAGCATCTACTATGTGCTAGGCCCTGTGCGAGGTGCTGGGAATACAGCAGAGACAGATGCGGCTTCTGTCCTCATGGAGTTTACAATCATTCACTCACTCAGTGACTTTAGATACATCCCTCTCTCTCTCTCTGGGCTTTAGACTGCTGAGATTCTTTTTGAGTCTGGGATGTGAAAACAAAGGAAAACCTAAAATCTGGAGAGAGGAATGATACAAGGGCTTGTTTTTTGCTGGGTATATTGTTACAAAAAGACCTGTGTTCATTTCAACACGACACAGATGTGGGAATGTTTTCTTTCTTTCTTTTTTGAGTTGGAGTCTCACTCTGTCGCCCAGGCTGGAGTGCAGTGGCATACTCACTGCCACCCCAGTGCCAGCCTGCCGGGTTCTGGCAATATTTCTGCCTCAGCCTTCCAAGCAGCCAGAACTACAGGCTCACGCTACCATGCCTGGCTAATTTTTGATTTATTGTAGAGACGGGGGTCTCGCCAAGTTGCTTGGGTTAGTCTCGAACCTGTGGGCTCAGGCAATCCACTTGCCTTCCCAAAGTGCTGGGATTACAGGCTGAGCCACCAAGCCCGGCCTGTGGGGGTGTTTTCAAGCAAGTAAAGGTTGGGAAACCACCCGACTTGCGTGTCTCTTCATTACCCCTGTCTCTAACAAAAAGACCAAGTGGGAGTGGTGGAGGCATTTGAGGGCTTTTGTGCGCAGGCTCTGGCTTGCCTTCCTGTCTCACTCCACTGCATCCCGTACACACCTGCCTTATTGGACCACGCCTTGTCGAGCTTGTCCCTCTCCTCAGGCAGTTTTCTCACCTGGAGTGGTCTTCCTCTTCTATTCATCCTTCAAGGTTCAGTTCTCATACCACCTTCTTATGCAGCCTTCTCAGATGCCCTCATAGAACTGACTACCCTGACAACAGGATGATCACACAGCTATTAGCATAGGTTAATTTCATTTTGCCTTGCATTGTAGTTCTGTTAAATATATCTCTCCAACTAGACTGTGAGCTATTGCAGTGAAGGGGCTATATCTGATTCATCGCTGTCACCTTCCAATGACTGCAGCCAGGAGGTGTCAGTAATTGCCATTTGAATCAAACTGACTCTTTATTGAGATTCAGTGCTGTTCTGCCAAAACTCTGATCCCAGCCAGGTGCAGTGGCTTGTACCTGAAGTACCAGCTGCTTGGGAAGCTGAGGGAGGAGGATTACTTGAGCCCAGGAGGTTGAGGCTGCAGTGAGCCATGATTGTGACACTACACTCCAGCCTGGGTGACAGAGCGAGACCCCTGTCTCTAAAAAAACAAAATATCTTGGCCTAATGTCTTACCTTGGATCAATGCTCCCTTCTTCCATAATACACTTGGCCCAACAGAGTGATGCAGCCATTGTGATCGCTAGGAGAAGGTCTTTAGAGTGCTGTCTCCTGCTTGTAGTAATATCTGTTCTTTCTGAGGAGCTGCATCAGGAGCATGGTGGGATTCCTCACAACTTAAGACTCTGATCACAACACATTCATGGAAATTAGAGCCAGCACAAGAAATCACAGGCTTATGGCCCCAAAGACATGAGTCTGTATCTAGAAAATACCAGGTTGCCAGGTACCAACAGCTCTGACTGCAACACGGGCACAGAGTGGGCCATGGGAGCAGCTGCTTTCCCTTAGTGGGAAAGTCCACATGGGCTAGGTTCTGCTGTGGTAACACACAACCTCATCATTTTAGTGGCTTAACATGGCAAAGGTTTATTTTTTCTCATGCTACATGTCTATTGAGTGTTTCCGGGGGCTCTTCTCAGAGACCCTGGCAGACAGAGCTCCATCCTCTGGGACATACTGGTTATTATAGCTGGGAAAGGACACACCAGTTCAATGCTCTGTCCAAGAAGTGACATATGTCACATCTGCCCACAGCCCACTGGCCCTGTGGAATCCTACCACATGCCCAGAAAGAAAAGAATCAGAAATACTACTGAGCGTATTTGGGTACAATGGCATTTCACAACACACTCAGAAAGTGACTCTAGCATCCATATGCCAATGTCTCACTCTGTCATGTCCTGGAAAATCAGTCACAGGGTGATAGCACCTTGAGTGTCTCTGAAAAGAATTGTCTAATTTCGCTCCCCACTTGCACATCTACTGAGAGGCAGGATGATGCCTAGATTGAGCCCTGGACTGGGAGGGAAGGGACCCAGGTTTGATTATTGGCCTTTGTTCCTTTTCTGCTGTATGATTTTGGTCAAGTTGGGACCCAGGTTTGATTATTGGCCTTTGTTCCTTTTCTGCTGTATGACTTTGGTCAAGTTTCTCCTTCTGAGAAGTGGAGCCATCAACGAGGTGATCTCTGGTACTCTGAACCCTATCCTCACATCTTTCTAGCAACTTCCAACATGACAGCCAATAGATCCAGGCTTACTTTGCAAGGTAGATAGCATATCAATCTCATTGGCTGGTAAATCTATTTTAACCATTTAATACTTCATAAGTTGTTTTAAACTTATGAAATTTTAGACTTCATAAATTATTTTAAAGAAAGGAGAGGAGCGTAACAAGAAGAAAGCTTCAGCTACAGTTTCTCTGAAACACCTGGATCTGAGAGTCCTGCTTTTCAGCTCCCTGGCTGTGTGGCAGGGGAGTGAGGGTGGGCTTTGGAGTCGGGTTGGCCAGAGTGCGAGTTCCAGCCCTGCCACTTGCTAACAGTTTTCTTAGCCTCAGCGTCCTTACTTGTAACATGGAGATGATTGCTATTTCCTCATGGGATTATTTTGAGGATCCAGTGAGATGAATCACATAAAGCTCTTAGCACAGAGCCTGGCACATGGTAAATAGTCAGTGGTATTGAGTTATTATTATCATTATGTCTCATTCTCCAAGCAAGTATTCTGTTTTTTAAACGTTTTTAAAAGATTTCATGAGAATAATCAGCATGTCACATGAATTTTTCTTACCTCCCACCTACTGGCCAGTGGCCTCCAGGTTTGTGGGGAGCTGGAGTCAGGCGAGCTGAGAAGGGGCTTGGGAAGTGTTGAGTTCATTACCAGCAGACGCACTGTGCTGGGATGGGTTGGGGCCCAGGCCATCCCCCTTCCATCCCCCACAATTTTCCCTTCCCTGAGGACTAGCCTCCTGCTCCCCTGCCTCATAGTCCACTTGCTCCCTGCTCTCAGGGACCTCACAGTCCCTGCCCAATTTAAAGTTCAAACTGCAACTACACGAAATCTGAAGTTTGGCAGCCGTGGGACGCAGACTTCAGAGATTCTGGGTTCCTTGGCCCTGCAGAGGTGAGGTAGGCACAGGAGAGACGCTGGACAGAGAATCTGAAGACTGGATCTTGCTGTAATCCTGTCCCTTGGACTCCCCTCCGCTGGACCTGGGTGTCTGGGCTGTGAAATGGGTTGTCTCCTTTCCGGGTTGCTGTAAGGATCTGAATTCATCAACGCTTCAAGTCCATTGCCTTGTAAGGTGTGAGACACTGAGTGCGTGTGAGGGACTTGACTAAGTCAGGACATCAGGCACATGAGCTCTGACCGCTTTCTTTCTCCCCCAATTCCTCCGCTTTGCTCCCCTCCCCTCTTTCCGGTCTTTTCACAGTAAAGAATAACAACTTGACACAGTTTAGAGACTAAAAACAGCCTTAAGGCAGAAGTTGCAAAATTTCATATTATACTAAGATTTGTCTCCTGGAATTTTTATCAAGAACACAAGTTGAAGTCAAAAATTGGAAGATAGTTGCCACTTGTTTTCTATCTGCTCATGGAACACCCCCCTTTAGCTACCCCATGGATACCCAGAACTCAAGGGGCTTAAAACAAACTCAGCATCATCTCCCTCCCCCACCTGCTGCTCTGGTCTTCCCCATCCCAGTGTCTCAGTGGGGAGCACCTCTGTCCACCCAAATAAGCTCCAATATTATATCTCTATCTCCTAAATATCATTTGACATTTATAATGTATATGCAGCTGACTCTTGAACAACATGGGTTTGAACTGTGAGGGTCCACTTGTACGCATCTTTATTCAATAAATATGTTGGGAAATTTTTTTGGAGATTTGTGACAGTTTGAAAAAACAGATGAACCACCACCTCTTAGACAGCAAGACCAAACCCTCCTCTTCCCCCCACCACCAGCGTACTCAATGCAAGGGTGGGTGACGAAGACCTTTAAGATACTGTACTTGCATTGAATGAACAGGAAATATATTTTCTCTTCCTTACGATTTACTTAATACCATTTTCTTTTCTCTAGCTTACTTTCCATCAGAATACAGTATATAGTATATATAGCATACAGAATGTGTATTTACCAACTATTTGTTGTTGACAAGGCTCTGTTCAACAATAGGCTATTAGTAGTTAAGTTTGTGGGGAGCCAAAATTTATACACAGATTTTCGACTGTGGAGCGGTCCTGCATTGTCCAGGGGCCAAGTGTAATCCCAAACATGATATCTCTCTCTCCCAAATGTTATTTTACATATGTAATACATATCTCCCCAATATTTCCTAGTACCAGCCTCTCCTCTTTGCTGCTCGCCTGGCCCAGGCCTCACTGAGGGCCTGGACTCCTGCAGGAGCTGCCTCCCTTCCCCACCCCCAGGCTGAAGCCCTTCCCATCTGTCCCCTTCCCAGGGCAAGGTGATTTTCCATTTAAAAATGAATAGCATTATTTTTTAAGTTCAAAGTCATGGTCATTATAGAGTATTGGACATTATAAAAAAGAATAATTAAAAAACAGTACTTATCTGTAACTTCATCACCCAGAGGAAATGACTGTTCATTAATATTTAGTCATGGTTTTCCAGAATTCCCATAATTTCCTACATACATGCTTTTTCATATATCCATAAGAAAATACTTTAGAAAAATAAAATTTGGGTTTTTTTAATTAATAGATTTTAATTGATATATCCTTTTTATTTTATTTTATTTATTTATTTATTTTGAGTTAGAGTCTCACTGTGTCGCCCAGACTAGAGTGCAGTGGCCGCTGCTGGCCCCCGCAGCCTCGACCTGCTGGGCTCCGGCGGTCCTTCCGCCTCAGCCTTCCGAGTAGCCGGAATTACAGGCACGCGCTACCACGCCCAGCTAATTTTTTATTTATTGTAGAGATGAGGTCTCACCAAGTTGCCCAGGTGGGTCTCGAACCCGCGGGCTCAGGCAATCCACTCACCTCAGCCTCCCAAGGCACGGGATTACAGGCTGAGCCACCAAACCCGGCTATTTTATTTATTTTTATCTTTTGAGTCAGAGTCTCACTCTGTTGCCCAGGCTGGATGGAATGTAGTGGCGGCACACTCACGGCCACCCCAGCATCGACCTGCTGGGCTCAGGAGATCCTTCCACCTCAGCCTTCCAAGTAGCAGTAGGTGTGTGCTACCATGCCTGGCTAATTTTTTGATATATTACAGAAACGAGGTCTCACCAAGTTGCCCAGGCTAGTCTCGAATCCCTGGGCTCAGGTGATCCTCTCGCCTCTGCCTTCCAAAGTGCTGGGATTACAGGCTTGAACCACTGCACCCGGCCCCTTTTTTATTTTAAAGATGTGGGACACAATTCAGGATTAGGTACGTAAGTGGTCGTTGTACAGGTGAAGTTTGGGCCTCCCACTGATTCTCATTTTGCCTGGTTTGAGATCAGTTACCCCTATTGATGTTAGGTACTTGCCCCTCCCTGGCAGTGCCCCACTTGGCTATCTCTTTATTATTATTATTTTTTTATTTTAAAGATGTGAGGTACAATTCAGGATTAGGTATACAAGTGTTCATCATACAGGTAAAGTTTGGGCCTCCCTTTGGTTCCCACTTTGCCTGGTTTGAGATCAGGTACCCTGATTGATGTTGTGTCCCTCCCTCCCACCGCAGGATCCCACTACTGCCAATCCCTTTCTTATAGTATTATGGTAAATGTTCAGAGTCCCCTTATGAGTGAGAACATGTGGTATCCTGTTCTGAAAAATAAAATTTGAATCAGACTAAAATATAGTGTTATGTGTTCTGGGTTTTTTTCTATTAATTACATTGTGAGCATTTCCCATCATCAAATATTCTTCAAAAATGCCTCCTAATGGCTGCATCCTCTTCCATTATTGGTCTCAACCAGAATTTATTTAAATGTTCTTCTATGGTTCGACATTAAGATGATTACTTTTTTGTTATAAATAATTGTCACATTTTTGTTACTATACTTAATGCTGTTATTAATATCCTTGTATATAAATTTTTTATTACACCTCTTATTACATGCTTAGACTAGATTCATAGAAGGAGAGGTGTTGGGTCCAGCGGTCTGGAAGTTCTTGAGGCTCTTAATTTATATTTCCAGCTTATGTTTCAGGATGCTCAAATGGATGTATTCCCACTCCCACCAGTATGACACCACCCACCTCACCGTGCTGCACCTCACAGTGGCCATTACAGTAAAACAAGATGAAAAATGGTAACTAGCCAGAGACTGTGCTAAAAGTCAATCTGATTGTAAAACCCAGTGCCCACAGATTAAAGTCCAAACTCCTGTCGTGCAGCCAAGGCCCAGCCAAACATCACAGCCACTGACAGTGTTCTCTCTGGTGAGGCAGGAGAGCTCTGAGTGTCTCTCCCCTCCTCTTCTCTGCGTCTCTGTTCCGACCAAGAGAGGAGTGGGAGAAGTCTGGGAGGGGAACTGTGGGCTTGTGCGGGGGCTGTGCTTACCTGCAGCCAGGTGCAGGTGAGCTGGACTGCTGCTTGGAGGCCGAACCTAGCTCTTCCATTGTTCAGATGGTGCCACTGAGGCAAAGGCAGGGCAGGGATGGAAATGCTGTGTGAATCTGGGTCTGTCCCCACTGAGTTCTCAGAAAGGAAAGTTGAGAAGATACTGAGCACCAGGAAGGGGCAGCTAGGCAGGGTGGTGGGGGTCGGGCAAGGAGGGGTAAAGCCTCCCAAAGCCAGGGGAGGCCTGGATGCCAGGCAGTGGGCACTGGCAGCTGCTGCTGCTGCTTCCGGGGGTGGGGACATGGGGGTGCAAGGTGGGAACGGGGAGGCTCCAGGCCCTGGGCTGCTCTGGGTAATTGGCATTCCAGGGATAGACAGGTCCAAGGATTTTGGACTCTGGGCTTCATTGCTGCCTCTACTGTTACCGCCTGGGTGGGCTAGGCCTTGCCTAGATGGATGTGGACTTCATCTCAGGTCTGCTCAGATTTGGGAAGAACTCCAGCCTCTGCCATTATCTCCCCTACGGTAACATGTTCATATATCCATTTAAGAAACTTAGGCCAGGCACAATAGCTTTTACCTGTAATCCCAGCATTTTGGGAGGGCCAGGTAGGAAGATTGTTTGAGACCAGCCTGGACAACATAGCGAGACCCCATCTCTACAAAAAATTGTTTTAAAATTAGCGCACCATGGTGGTGCATACTTGTATGTAGTTCCAGCTACTCAGAAGGCAGAGGCAAGAGGATCTCTTGGGGCCAGGAGTTTGAGGCTGTAGTGAGCTGTACTCCAGCCTGAGCAACAAAGCAAGATCCCATCAAGAAGGAAGGAAGGAAGGAAGAGAGAAAAACAAATTTGTGCAGGCTCTGGGGTTGGGCAAGACTAGACCTTGGAACAAAGCAGAATCTGACACTCCCTGCTCTTAGAGTAACACTGAAAACAACACAGGAGGGGCACAGTGAGAGAAGCAAAGTGGGGTGTCTTCCTGGTAGAGGTGGTATTTAATCTGGGCCTAAAGGTCAGTCCTTTCACACATGGAGCTGAGTGCTGGGGGTGGGTAGCTCTGCCTTGTGGGGAGAACCCAAGAAGAGCACAGGGCTAGGCAGTGCAGGGAATGTCGGGGTTCACATTTGGCTGCTGTGTGCGGCTGTGAGGAGGGAGGTTGGGGAGCAAGTCAGGCAGAGCCAGCTGGTGAGGGCCTCAAGTGCCCACTGAAGAGTCTCCACTTTGTCCTGAGAGCAGTGGAGAGCCACTTACAGGTTGCAGTCGGGTGATGCGATTACAAGTGCTTTTCAAAAAGCTCCCTCTGGCTGCCTGGTGGAGGAGGGACTGCCGGCAGGGACGAGACTGAAATCTTGAGATCAGCCAGGGGGTCTGCTGAGGGCTGGGGTGTGAGAGCTGGCCTGGGGCAATGGCGGGGGGCAGAGGGCGAGCTGGGAGCTGTTCTGTGGCAGGATCAGTGAGACGTGGTGCTGCCCTTCTGGGATGAAGATACCAAGCTGATGGCCCTAGCCTAGCCTCCTCCCATCCTCACTGGCATCGGCCTAGGGCAGCCTCACCGACTAACCTGACACCCGCACCCTTGCAGAGCCTGCCCTCCCTCACCTGGTGGCCCAGCTCCTACCCACACCTTCCTGCCGGCCTCCCTCACCTCCTTGTTCCCCAGGCTGTAGATGACGGGGTTCAGCATGGGTGTGACCACGGCGTAGAGGACCGTGAAGACCTCGTCAGAGATGTGGGCCTCCTTGTTCTTGGGTTTCATGTACACGAAGATGATGGTGCCGTAGAAAAGCAGCACAACAGCCAGCTGTGATGAGCCGGTGGAGAAGGCTCTGTGGCGCCCGGTGGCTAAGGGTACCCTCAGGATGGTGGCCAGGATAAGCGTGAGGACAAGCAGCAGCAGGATGGCGCCAGCCAGCGGGAAGGCCTCACTGAGTGACGTGTTGCCGCATGCCAGCTTCAGCACTGCCAGGATCTCGCAGGTGAAGTGACTGACCACGTGGCGGCCACAGAAGGGCAGCCTCATGGTAATGACTGTCTACGTCACCAACTTGAGGAGGCAGAGGGCCCAGGTGTCCCCCACCAGCGGCAAGCAGAGCCGGCGGCTCATGAGCACGGGGTACCTGAGTGGCCGGCAGATGGCCAGGTAGCAATCGTAGGCCATGATGGCCAGCAGCAGGTGCTCTATGGAGCCCGTGGACAGGCTCAGACACATCTGGATAGCACAGCCAGTCAAGGTGATGGTCTTCTGGGATGACAGGAGGTGAACCAGCATCAGGGGCACGAAGGTGGACGTGTAGCAGATGTCTAGGATGGAGTGTTGCCCAGGAAGAAGTGCATGGGCGTGTGCAGGCGGACGTCTAGCGTGCTCACCACCACGATGGCTGCGTTCCCCAGCAGGGTCACCAGGTACATGGCTGAGCACAGAGGGAAGAGCAGGCGCTCCAGACTGGGTAGCTGGAAAATCCTTTCAGAAAGAATTCAGACACCCTTGTCCTGTTGACCGACTCCATGCTGCAGAGTTCCGAAGGGACACACAACTGGGATGGAAGGACAGAGGGTGCAGGGTGGTGGGAAGCTCACGGAGCCCTTCTGGGATGAGGTGGATTGCTATGGTGTTTTCCAGCACTGCCACACTCTCCCTCTGTGCCTTTGGGCAATCTTCTTACCCTCTCTGGACCTCAGTTTATCCATGTGGAAAATGAGGATTGATGTAGATCAGCATTCTCTAAGAGAATGGTAAAAGAAATGTTAGTGGGCAATCTGAAAAATCAATCTGAGGCAGCACCGGTGAATACAAAATAAAGCTCTGTACTGCAGGACTTCTCAGAGTCTTTAACATGCTAATATGATTTGTGACTCTCCACAAGCAGTGTAGAGCATATACTCCCCAAACTTACTTAACTATGGATCCCCTTTTGCCCCATTAACTTACTACAGGTAAGTGTTCTATGAACATAGTTTGGGCAACAGTGGGCTGGATCAGAGGTTTTCACACTTTGACATGTACTAGAATCACCTGGAAAGTTTGCTGCAATGCAGATTGTTGGGCCCCAATCCCAGAGTTTCTGACTCAGAGGACCTGGGGATGTCAGTGCTGCTGGCCCAGGTACCACACTTGAGAACCACTGGGCTAGATGGTCTCCGAGGGGTCTCTGGCTTTAAGGAAGCCTCTGAGCCATTGCTTATGCTCTTCCCACTGTCTGGAATATCCTCGGCCTGCAGAAGTCTGACTTGTCTCTTCAGGTCTGCTGTAGTGTTCACACACAGCATACACTGTACCTCACGTTGGAGGGGTGCTGGCTTCTAAGCCCATCAGTGGGAATGTTCAGCTGTCCCCTCATGGGGCCTGCTCTACCAGCCACCTTGTGTGGATTGGCCTTTCGGCATTTGCCTTTGTTGGCTTTCTAGGTCTTATTTTTTTTTTTTTTGAGTTGGAGTCCCACTTGGTCGCCCAGACTGGAGTGCAGCTGGCCTCCGGCGATCCTTCCGCCTCAGCCTTCCAAGTAGCCGGAATTACAGGCATGCGCTACCACGCCCGGCTGATTTTTTGATTTGTTGGAGAGATGAGGTCTCGCTGCCCAGGCGGGTCTCGAACCCGCGGGGTCAGGCAATCCACTCACCTCAGCCTCCCAAAGGCGCGGGATTACAGGCTGAGCCACCGAGCCCGGCTTAGATAACTTTCTTAAGTGATAAAACGACTTTTTTCCTCTAAGTGCTCCTTTAAATCAATGGGATAGAAGTCTCTAGATAGTAATGCACATCATGATCAGGAAGTATGTTAATGAAACTGTAATCAGAAAATGGCAAACATGAATAATATATTTTAGAGCATAAAATAACGTGATATACCTAACTTCGTATGCTCTCCTAAACGGAAAATGTATGTAGTAATGTGCATTGTATTGGAACACCATTATACTGTCTCAAACTTGAATGATTCAAAACAACCAAATATAATATGAAATAGGGCTGATTCAGAAATCCAACCACTGGTTATGGGCTCATTTTGCCAGTATAATCTTAGATCTGAAAACTCTTTCAGTTTATAGATTCTCTTCCAACTCAAAGAGCATTCTGTTTCTTGGAAAGGTTTATTAGTTTCCTTATGTCTGTCAGTAAGATGAGGATCAGCATAAGTCTTATTTTATATTTTCTAAATATTCGTCAGTTCCTGCCAGTATGTTAAGGAACACCCAAATATGCATTATGAATTTTTGTCTTAGTATTTTTCAACAGATGATATCAATGATGATTGAAAGACAGAAATATTAACTCAACCATAAGAATTTTTATGTACTGACTTATTAGACACAAAAGACAGAATATCATCTCTTGAAATCTCAGATTTATAACACCCCTTTCGTTGGATTTAACAGGGA